GCATCTGGGCATATGATGCTTATGGAGGAAGCATGGCCGCTTTTTTCCAATCACAAAGATGCCCCTGGAAATTCATGAATTGGGTTTGAGGAAGGTTAAAAGCCATTGAGGCAGATAGGAGCATGGCCTGTGATTGGGCTGACCCAGTGCGGTAGAAAGGGCCCCCCATTCCTCTGGAAGCCTAAGGACTCTGCCTGGACCTAGCCCTGCTCCTGAGCCGTGGTCACTGGTCAGATAAAGCTCACTCCTGACTCCTAAAGCGGCCCCCAGGTCTGGGGCCCCTTTCCTTTATTCTCCACTCCCGCGCTCTTCCTCTGTTAGAAGGAAGTGTTTGCAAGGCCAGAATCTTGGGCTGGGAGGTCACACTGGTGGCGTCAGAAGGTCCAAGAGCCCACAGGGTCGGAGGAGAAAGGTAGGAAGACTAGAGGAGAGGAGATCATCATGTACAGGAGCTACGTAATTACAGTCCTGGGAACAAGTGGAGAGGTATGTGCTAGCTACGTCCTGCTTTCCAGATTACTTCCGCAGTATGTCACCTCTAGTGAACCAGTACCAGCATGATGTCCTGAGGGCTGGTGAGTTAATCAGCACCTGCTGACTTGATGATGTGTGGGACCTGCAAAGGTGAACATTTAATGGTTACAGCTAACATTTCTGTAGCACTTAACTGTGTGCAAGATGCTCTTTTAAACACTTTACAATATCAACTCATTTAGTTCCTAATAATCCTTTGAGGGTAGGTACTTTTATCTCTGTTTTACAGATGAGGAAACTGAAGCCCAGAGACGTTAAGCAATTTGCCTAAAGTCACACAGGTGGTAAGTAGCAGAGCCAGGATTTGAACCTGGCTCTGGGGTTCGTGCTCTTAATCACTAGAAATAGTAAGGCCACCCCTCTGAAGGTATACGACTAACGGTGTCAGTTGAAACCAAATTGCTTCTGGTATTCTCTGTTCATCTAAACAGAGAGATGCATTTGCCAGATTACTAGCTTTTTCCCCGAGTGCCAGGAGCTATGTTTGTTTATTCCAGCAAGGAGATTACATCTGAAAAACCCCTGTAATTGGACTAGCTACGTGATTAAGTCTTTGATAGACGCAGCTATTCTCCAAGTCCCACG